AAAATTCCCAGAGCAACCCATTAAGTGTCTTCCAGGTACAGGAAAAGGTCTGCTCTGTCAGTTGGCACCACTTTCCAAAGTGATGTTGAGGATGAGCTTACATGACTACAGGTGTGCACTGAATTTCTGGACTCTTCTTGCTCTGTATATTTCTTTCTAGCAATTGCAACAAAAACCAGAAAGAGGAAGAAACCTGCTGCGTGGCAGGCTGTTATTGCAGAATGCCAGGGCCCAACAAGCCCTGATTGCCTAGATAAGTCTCATCTGTAGCCTCTACCCACAAATTCTCTGCCCACTGGCCTAGGAGCTGCATATAAGGTCAGGCTCTACTCCTTAACTCTCTTTGAGTAATGTAGACAGGCTCAGGCTTGTTCTTTTTTTGCTCTGTTTTCTTGTTTTGTGTTTGTTGGGTCATTACCGGAGTGTGAGCTGAACCCATCGTAGATGCCACTGCTGCCTGCTTCTGCTCAGGTATGGTGGGGGTACACTTTTGGGGAGGGCATGGCTCCTGCCTGCGCGGTTGTCACCCTCTGTTCCTGGGTTGTTCTCCCTCCTGGAGCAGCCCTGCTCTTTCTTGCTGCTCCTTGACGTTCAAGTTCCTCTAGGAACCTCTTCTCAGGTTTCTCGTTCAGATTCAAGTAGTCCCTATTTGCTGGTGCCTAAGAGAATATGGTTGCTCCAATGTGAAAAAACCATCTTGCTTACTTTAGGGCATTCCCCCCCCCAAGATCTTAAAGAACTTTGGCAACATGCCAAAGAAGATCCTAAAGAGCTTTGAGAAGAGAAGCAGTGCTTCACTTTATAGTGCACTTGAAAAAAAGAAACTTGGTGATAAGAAGGTTTTGACTAATGTAGAAAACGAAGATTCAGCTCCATCACCTGCTAGTTCTCTTAGCTAGATCATAGGTCTTAATTCCCTTCAGTAAAGCTGTGTATTCTTGTTCGTGTAAAGGAGTGCATGGGATGTAATCTTCTGTTCGTGACACCTGGCTTGCACTCCTCCTGCCTATTTGAATGGAGTGCTTTACAGCAGTTATATTTTGAGAAAGGAGCCAAGCATGGGGTAACCAAAATGTGAAGGCCAGCACTAAAAAGCATTTAAAGCTATTCTTGCTGTGTAAATTAACATGAGGGGATGTTAAATGGAGAAGCTCAAGCCACTTATAAGTGGTTAGCAGTCTGGAATATGGTGATTAAGTGCTGCAGAAGAGAAATAAAAGATTAAGAAAATGATGCAACAGGTGTAGAAGATAAGTGAGAGCAATAGCCCTGAACTGGACAGGGAAACATCCTTTCCAGCTACCTTCTCTGAAGGGCTGAATAACAGACTACATGGACGAGGTAGGATGCTCTTGTAGTCCACTTGGAGCAAACACCAGCCTGTACTACACAAATGGCAGCCAGTGAAAGTATTCAGAGCTCCTGAACAGCCAAGTAATCTATTCAGAAGATTAACACTTTCTTCTCTTGCATATATCCCTTGTATACTTGTCCTTACAAAAAGGTGGATGCCCAGTGTAGAATTAGGAGAGTTTGGTGGACATATCTGAAAAATCTTCTGCTTGGGAAGCAATTGCAGACAGCTGTAGATGTACATGGACATCTTTCTTTCTTTACAACCTAATGCTGGGGCTAAAGTGTTGGACATGATTGCTATTAGGCAATGACATTTACAGGAAGAGTCTGTGCAGAATTCCCCTGGTAAAGTTAATTCAGCAATGGGTTTACAGCTTTTTTTGGGGGTAATAACAATTCAAGGGAAGGTTTGCAGAATAAAAAGCATTTTACACTGTCAGACTTCCACTACTGTGAAGCAGAGACAGAATTTGAGCTCGCTAAGAACAGGTGTCTTGTATAGAGGCTAATGAACATAGACAAAAGACCTCACAGTTCTTGCTGGCTCTTAGGTGCTGATTGCTACCTCTTATCCTGCATTTTGGTCAGTCTAAACCTTCCCTAAACTATCCTAGAAAAGGACCTCTCATTGCACTAGGAAAGCTACTTGTCTAGAAAGGAACTGAGATTTAATTAGGTGAATAAAAAGACTGTAGATCCAGTTGGGACACACTTGAGCTTTGACTTGGAAGGTTTTGTTACATAGTTTGTGAAGACATGTTGAGTTTAAAGAAATTTTTACAGGAAACCTTTGAGACTAGGAGCAGATCCACTGGTCACCTCTAAAGAGGGAGAGGAAGCGCAAGCAGAAATGAAAACCTGACCTCTTCCAGGGGAAATCAGCTATTTTGACACTCTTATTTTACAGAAGTTTTGTGAAGGGTGGGTTTGCACTCCAGCATGCAGAGAAAAAGAAAAATCTTAACCTCAGGTCTTTTAATGAGACAGGATTATCATTCCCTGGCTTACTCCACAAACACCAAAGCCAAGTGAGAAGAAGGTGTATTGGACTATTGGACTGAAAGCCTTTGCACAGACCCTCTGCCTGGAATGAAACTCCATCCATCTAAGAAGGTAAGAAAGACATTACTTAAACAGATTGCAAATGGCAACTTTATACACCAATTTCAATTAAGATATTGTCTTATGGCAGGGATACTCAAATAGTTTGTCCAGTTATTTTCAGCAGCATCTACTGATATGGTTGTCATGCCTTTATCTCCCTCCTGATATCCTATTGCTCTTGCTCTTCCCATACCTACACTCCAAAAGTTTCTACCCCCATTTATCGTATGTTTTAACAAGCCTGGTGTTTCTTGTTTTAAAGTGGTTCTTGGCTGGTAGAGTTGATGTTAATAGATGTGGGATCTTGAAGATGCTGTAGATGACAGTAAAATAAACTTATGTTTTGGGAATGTCTGCTGTGTAGGGTGGTCAGCACCTGCCAGTTGTCTGAGGTGGTTTGTGAAGCGTTTAAGAATGTCTCTCTCATGGGCAACCTTCACTGAGGGCAGCCCAGCTGATGGGAGCTGGTATAGGTCTGTCCCATGGCCACAAAGCTGCAGAGCTGGTCTTTCGCACAATAAAGTTCTTGTTGCCCCGCTGGCTGTGTTGTGAACTGCACAGTTGCCAACAATTTCAGCGACGGAGTATTCTGCACATCTGAAAAGTCTGACTTCTGCCTTTAATCTGCTGCGTGATCCTGGCTGGGTCACTTTGCTTCCCTATGCCTACCTTCACCTGTCTGCAGAATAGATCTGAAAGTGGTTACTGTCTTTTGGAAAGTGTTCTACATAGAATAGATGTAGAGTGCCATATGCAATCATCTCCGGGTGGGACAGCTTGCCTCAGGATGTGTTCCCTTGGGGTTTTTTTGAAGATGTGTTTTTTTGTGCAACTTGTCTGTTTAATAGTTTTTTTGTCTTTAAACAAAAGTAGCAAACAGGTTCTGAAAGACTTACTATATGCTTTAAAAGTAACATAGTAACCCCATGAAGATAAGGGAACTAACCTCAAGAAAGTTTCCTTATAAGGGATCAAAGAAAGATGCAAAGCCCCTCTTGAGTCCAGAAAATTTCTTAAATCCAAAGCAAATTAATTAACAGCAGCTCTGTGTGGGCAGCCACATTTGCAGATAAAAAGAAGTGTTTAATGTGTTCTTGCAAACCCTTTTTGGGTATGTTTCAGACGTCTTGCAACCAACATTCCAACATGCTGACATCCTGGACAGCACGAGCCAGAGGCCTTTCAGGGCTCCTCGTTATGAAACATCTACATCTCTTACTCTAGCACTTCCCAGTACTGACCAACAGAAAAGATTCTGTATTTTGGGGTTGTTCACATGGCAACATTAGCGACAGGTTTTTGTGAAGCAGCCTGGTAATCTTGGTAAATGCAGTAGAGTTTAATTGAAAAAGAACAGCTTTTATAAGGTTAAAAAAAATAATTAAAAGAAAATCCCCAAATCTTTCTTTTCATGTTTAGGTAAGGCTGGTTTTTCTTTTTCTTAATTGTACACATTGTTCTGTTAATAGCTCAAACTTGAACACAATCTTAGTTTATTTTTCCCGTACAGCATAAACCCTTTCCATTTCATTTCTGCCTTTTTGGGAAGATTCAATATTTAAGAAAAGCTACTGCAATTAAGCAAATCACAGATTCAAGGTTCCATGTTTCAAAACCTAATATTTAGTACAGCTGCTGCGGAGCAACATACATCACACTCAGATACAGGTATGAAATTAGTATTCTGCTTCTAAATCCTGAAATCACATCAAAGGTGACTGAGCAAGGTTTAATTAAAATTCTAATTACTACTTTATATTTCAGTGATAGCAAAGCAGAACAAATCCCTGACTTTCCTCCCCTTTAGAATTACAACTGGTGAATAAATATTCATATTCAGCATGATGGTTGAAACCAGTGTTTGGCCAGTGGGCTCAGTGGGTTTCCACAATAGATGCAAGCCAGAGAAGTATAAAATTAGTTTGTAGGATCCTCACTGCTGTCTTCTGACTGGTCATACGATAAATTAAAAAATACATTCATTTAATTTGGAGTATGGTATCTCATAGAGTGAATTTCCTGATAGGAAGCTGATTTTTTTTTTTTTTCTTTAAAGTGGGAAGTATTAGGTGCTGAGCACTGCAGGAGATCTGGCCCCAAGTCTGTGAACAGCTACTTTGACCCTGAACGCATTTATATCTTGACCTTTTACCTATTTATATCACCTGAAGAACTGGCTGCAAACTTAGGTATAAAGACACACATCTAAAGATATTGTTCCTATAGCAGAGTTGGTCAGAAATAACAGTCCTAGTTCTGAAAGACTGAAAGTATTTTCTATACGGAAAAAGGAGTACTAAATCCTTTCCATTATTTTCAGAATTTTATGCTTCTCATCACCAGAGATGTTTTGTTTCATTTGAGACTTTCATTTTTTACATTCACTGCTTTGTGATGGTGAATGTTTTGATTTTGACAGCTTTGCAATAGAAAATTATTCCCTCGGAGCTTTCTTGATCAGCATTATTGTACACAGGCGCAAACATGGCCCTCCCTCCAGGGAAGGTGCTGTAAAATGTAGGGGGTTTTGCTTTACTTACCAAGAGGCATTACTACAAAAAAAGGAAGCCAGCAGAGAACGAAGCATCCCACAACTATTCCCAGGGTCTTGGCAGCTTTCTTTTCCCTGGAGAACTTGAGGAGACGCACCGAGAAATGATGCTTGCTCTTGGGGTTGGACGCTGAGCCGCTTGCTTCAGGAGCGTTTTTACGATGGATCCGTAGGGTCACTTCTTCGGAACGAGACCTCTCTGTCTTCAGACCAGAAGTCAGACCTTTGTTTTCCCTTTTGGCCACTACGTACACCCGGCAATACATCACCAAGATAATCGTCAGGGGGAGGTAGAAGGAGCCCAGAGCAGAGAACAAGACGTAGCCAGGCTCCTCGGTGATTTGACAGATGGTCTCATCTTCTGGCGCTGGTTCCTTCCAGCCAAAAAGAGGTCCGATGGATATCACCAGAGACAACGCCCAAACGCACAGTAACGCCAGGAGCCCTCTCTTCTCTGTCACTATACTTGGGTACCTCAGCGGGTAGCTCACCCCGATGTATCTGTCTATCGAGATGATGCAGAGGCTCATGATGGAAGCAGTGCAGCAGAGGACATCGACGGCTGCCCAGATGTTGCAGAAGATTCTCCCAAAGGCCCAGTAGCCCAAAATCTCCATAGTAGCTGAGAAGGGCAGGACAGTGGAAGTCAAGAGGAGGTCAGCTACAGCCAGGTTAATTATATAATAGTGGGTAACACTCTGAAGATGTCTGTGGCAGGCTACAGAGAGGATAACCAGAATATTACCCAAAACCCCAAAAACTATCAGCCCCCCTAGAATAACACCTAGTAAAATGGCCTTTGAAATGTTCACAGGCCCCACCGAGTTGGTGCAGTTGGAGCAGTCGGAGGAGTTTCCAGGGAGGAAAGCCATGGTGAGTGGCTGATAATGTTCATGCGAGGCTCTTGTACTTCACTCCCTTTTCAGGTAGAAAGAGTGATGAGATCAGTTCTCAGAAGGTCCTACAGGCAACATGTGCCTGGCTTTGCTGAGGAAAAGGGTTTTTAAGAACATCTTAGATGTGCAGCACCAGGAGCAATGAGAAGGATCCAGAAACATATTAGAAAATCTACCTTTCTCCCTAAGTTTTTACCTTTATTGCACTGTTCATAGCCAGCATTTCCAAGTCAAATTTAACTCCTTTTGCATTTTTCTTGGGGTGCAAAAGTGAGGCTACGCAAAACAGAGGCTACTTATCTTACTTTCCAGGATTAAATGATGAGAAAGGTTGGAATCGCAGGTTAAAATCATTTCTGCCTTTTGAGGAAGATTCAATATTTAAGTAACAAATATTCCAAAGGGTCTCAATTTTAAGTTTCTCCCAAGAGGAAATCACTGATGCTTTTAATTACTTTGTGGTAGTCCTGATTCTTTCTGCCTTACAACTGGCTTAGAAACCTGGCAAGGTGGAGGCTCCTGCTGTGTCTGCTCAGTGTCATTGGAGTTACCTGCCACTACCCATCTTCAGGGTCTGAAGTGTCAATCAAAGCTTCTCCATGCTGTGGAGCAGTTGTCACTTGAGCTCCTGGACTGCGAATTAAAGTTCAGTTACATCAGCTTCTGGCTTGCGCCGAAGGGGAGAGTGAAGTTTGCCGTGTCAACGATGCACTCTGTTGTACTCTTTGCAGATCATCACCCCCCTGAAGGAGACAAAGACACAAACAATATGATTCCCAGAAGCAACGTTCACTTACTGCTATGGTTCCCATATAAGAATAGAGCAGGAGGCTATTTTAGGGAGCCTTCCTCAGGCTGGCTCCAGCCAGTGGAACCAACCTTTTTCAGCCCAGTATTGTTTAACAACAACAAAGAGACCAATGCGGATTTTGTTGCTTGAATTTTCTGACCATGTGCTCAGCAGCAGTCCATTGTCCTTTAGGGATAGCAATCAATCTTAATTATCAGTTCACCTGTAGAGACCAGTGCTAGGTGAGATGGAAACCTGCAGGACACAATTCAGGACTACAAACTGTGAGGCAGACTTATAAGTCCAGACTTTAGTCTAAGATGTCTTTATTAAGTGACTCCTTCACCCACTGATCTGCTTGTTAGTCCAGCTAAACTGCCCATTTTAGAAATCTATAGGGAAAAGCAATTCCTGCCAAGCAGAAGATGTTGCAAGGAACAAGTTTCCTACTGGGTGACACAACATTTCAGAGTATCTGGAAGCCAAGCTCAGGCTTAGCTGACTAAATATGGAGAAAAGGTACATCAGATGGAAAAGTGAGGATAAGCCTGGGAACTGAGACACCGGGGGCACGAAGAGGAAAGCTACAAGTGTGGGCTGAAAAGCCTTTCACAGCACCTAGATGTGGATATAGTGTTCCCATCCAAAATATTGATCAGACCTGTGAAAAACCACCACTAAGACTACTCCTGTTAAATCTGAGATGAGGCAAGACTCTAAGTGTCCTAATATTAGGTCTTTCAGATGAGTCCATCAGACTGCACTTTACACAAACACTAAGCAGCACCAACTGTCACATAGCTGAATCTCAAACCTGCAATTTCCTACAGCAAAGGCATTTAAAACTCTGAACCCCCAAAATTCCCAGTTCACAAGCACGGAGGATGGGGGAGGGGAGATGAAAAGGTATCGCACTGTGGGAATTGGCCTTCTGTGCAGTGAACTGGGATTGGATCTTATATTTTCTTTCCCATGAGAGGGAACAAGTTGAAGAATAATTCCAAGAAAGAAAAGGACAGATTTTACTAAGCACATCAATGAAAAGTGACTGTAGCATCGAGCATCTCTAACCATTATAACTGTGGTCATTATAGGGTTGATGGTGGACTAGAAAATTAAGAATTTATCCAACTTGATTTTTAAGCGCATGCAGCAAAACTTCCCAGTAAGTCAGGGAGATGCAGCAGAAAGGACTGACAGATATTCATGCTCAAAACCAGCCAGATAATACTCAACTTGTGGAGAGAGATCGTCTGGGGAAGAGCATACCCTAGACCCTTGTGCCTGCCCCAATCCACACTCACCTCTTTAGTCTCTAGAAGGCAGCACAGCTCCTCTGAGCATCTGGAAAGGAGATTCACAGCACAACACAGCAGGCTCCTCTCTTCATGCAGAGATGGGACTCTGTGCCTGGAAATCCATTGCTTTCCTCCCTTTATTCCCCCACTAGTATTTTGGCAGCTCCCGGTTGCACCGATTCCCTGTATTCCAATGCTCGTGAGGGGCTCGACTCCAGCATCCCTCAAGGGATCCCTCCCCAGTTGCAGTGCTCAGCTCCACACTGTCAAGGAGCAGCAGTAACTTTACTGCTCTGCTGATGTAGCAGGCAGTATCCTTGCCATTACCGTAATACCCTGCCATTCCCGTATTGCTCAGAAAGAAAGAGCACTTAATCTGATGACAAGTGGCGTTTTAAACTTTTTTTTTCTTTTCCCCCCATACGAATCTACCAGTTCCTGCAGAAATCATCAGAAAGTGGAAGGCAGCTAACAGCCTCCTGTTTCTAGGCTAACAAGTAATTCTTGTGCTATACCAAGAGAATTGCCTGCCAGACAAACCGAGCATGAAGAAAATAACAAGGAGAGACAGCCACCCTGTCCGTGCAGTCTGCATGCTGGGACAAAGTACTGGGGTAGGCAGCACAGCTAACCTGGAGATGGGGGTTTAAGTATGAAATGCCTTGAGCAGAATGTGCTGTTGAGGCGAGATTGATTTTTCGCATGGCTCTTTTAACTGCCTTTTTTTTTCTTTAAAGTGCCCCAAGTCACTGATGGTGAACAGACAAATATAAAAATGGTGTCCTGAAGTGAAAGGAGGGAAGCAGAAAACTGACTGGGATTTTTACGGCCAAAGGAAAGCAATTCCTATAGCCACAGGGAAGCAGATGAACGATGTGCCTGTTCTGGCATGACAGACTCTCCACCTCCTCCTCCTGGGCAGTAACTCTGAGGGAAAGTTTGTTTGGTGGACTCATGTGTTGCCTGAACAGAGGCAAATTTAAAAGTGATGCTCAGATTACCCAGGAGAGCACCCAATGCAGAGCTCGGCTTGTCAGTAGCCTTAATCGCTGTTCCAACAGCTTTACAAGGGGAGAGGGGGGAAAATTCAAACTTATTTTGAGAACCTTGCAAACACGAGAGGTGATTTGTAGATGCTCAGCTTCCATTTCTCCGCAGTTTTCTTGGCACTTGTGCTGCTTGCTCTGTAGATCTAACACTGGTTTTTGAAGGCTGCTGAGAGGTCTCGAGCTAACACTGAGCTCCTGCACAGACCAGAGTGTCAGGCTGTACCGTCGTCCTTCCCCGAGTAACAAAGGATGTTGGGAGAGAGCGAAGTCTAAATGAATACAGGAAATCTTGAGTTACCAAAGACCCTTAAAGACCATGATTCAGCAGACTTATTTTAGATGCCTGTCTTTGGATGAGGCAACTTTATTTCACTCGATCAATTGGAAAATGAGTCTAAATGACTCAGGGGAGGGAGGAGAGATGAACCCCACTCAAGGTTTTGTTTCTACTGATACCTAGGACCTCTTCATACTGGTGGCTTGTTCCAAGCTCTTAAATGCGTAAGGGAAATAAATTTATATTCATAGTTTCAGTCATTACCACTGTACTCAAAGTATCAGCTCACTTATGAGTAATACCCTTGTTAGAGGACATTTTTCAGGGGGGGTGGGGGGTGGGGTGAAGCAGAAGGAAGTGCCAGACAGCAGTTTTTTTCCCTAAAATCCTCAGAGAAAAATTAATGCATCACAGCGAAGAACTCCTGTACCCAGAGCCCACTAACAGTCCAAGGTCGGAAGGGTGACTGAACAAAGTACAGTATGTTGTCAGGTAAGGAGGGACAGGGCTGGATTACTGCCACATCCAAGTTTTATGAAGCAATCTTGGTACTTAGCTCTTGCAAGATATGCTGGAGTTGCACGTGTCCCATTTAAAAGTTTTGGACTAATCAGAACATTCAGGAGGAAGCATTGAGAATGGTACAAGTCTAGAAAATATGACCTGTGACGCTGGGAAAGGAGGAGCCCTTGAATCTCAAACTCTGCACCTCTGAAGCCAGGTGAAAGACTGCCTGTAGAGGTTATGAATATCCACCACTGGAAGGTTTTAAGAACAGATTAGGCAAAGATCATCCACAGTGTTTAACTTAGGTTTCATTTTCTACTGAGAGAGGATTAAATCCCTGTAGGGTCCCACCCAACGTGGTTTTCTACTGTTAAGATCCGTAGAGAAAGGCAGGTCTCTGAGTTCAGGCAGTGGAAGGAACAAGAGTCCTGGACGTGGTCGTTGTTTCTACTGCAACCTTCTTTGGTGATATTTGGCAAGTCCATTTCTAAGTGTATCTTCCCTATCTGCGAAGTAGAGGAAAGAATGCTTTTCTTTCCTTTCTCTTATTCGCTTGCACTGTAATCCTTCTGGTATAGGGTTGTATCTACTCTGTCTAGATAGCACCCAAGATGAAGTAGATCCTCTGCTTTCTGCGTTGTAAATTATACTCACTAAGGTGACAGGGTCCCGAAGAGAGGGCTCCAGGCAATGCTCAGCTGTTTCTAAGCCTCCGGCCCTTTCTTATTTGCTAGCTTTGTTAAAATCAGAGCCTTAAACCCTAGCTTTTGGCCAGCGCTGTCATTTCAAGTATGTCATACAAAGGCCCAGCATCCCACTGCTTGTTTGTCTGATGCCATTTAAAAAAGTGCCGTTGTTAATCTGCTTAGCTTAGTGCCAGACCACGTAGGCAACCTGTGTCTGGGACCAGGAGTGGAATAACTTCTCCGAGGTGCTATAGGCTGTGACATGATTAGTTATTCACCTCTTCAGAAAGTAGTGAAAAGTGTTGTTTTGAGAAGTCATCCCTCAGGGTTTAGTAAGGGCTTAAGTTCTGCTTGGGTAAGAAAGAAACC